CCAAATCCGCGCCGGGTTCCGAAACAAGCGAGTTTGGGGTTAACTCGAACTAAGCGCCGCCGCTTCGGGGCTCACCTTGCACGCGTCTCCCGCTCCCGGCGCAGGGCAGGTGCACCCGCCTTGGAAATCCAGCTCTGAGTCGGTGTGTCCCAGACCGGGATTGCGTCCCTCGGCGCTGTCCGCATGGGTAGGGTCTCCCAGCCCTGCGCACCCCTCTAGCCTGCGCTATGCAGACACGTCCACACTGCAGCGCGACAGGGCGTGGGGGCTGCCCCAGGGCTTGCTGCAGAGGCTGACACGTGAGTGTCGAGCGTAGGGGGGTGGGACCCAAATCCGAGCCTGAGCCAGGGTCCCCAAAGCAGTGTAGACGGGACCTGGGAGGCCTGGCCCCGCAACCCACGGTCTTGCAACCAGGGTAGTGATCTCATCAGCCATTCCAGGGCGTGGGGGCTGCCCCAGGGCTTGCTGCAGAGGCTGACACGTGAGTGTCGAGCGTAGGGGGGTGGGACCCAAATCCGAGCCTGAGCCAGGGTCCCCAAAGCAGTGTAGACGGGACCTGGGAGGCCTGGCCCCGCAACCCACGGTCTTGCAACCAGGGTAGTGATCTCATCAGCCATTCCAGCAGGCCGTGTCGGCGAGCGGCCGTTAGCCCAGGCAGACGCACGCTACGTGATCGAGCCTGAGTAGGGTTGCCAGATACCGAACACGGCCACGCAGGGAGAAAAAAATTGGTAATTGGTTAAGAAAAAAAAAAAAAAAAGGACGGGGGAGAGGGAACCAAAGTTGTTGTGCAAAAAAAGAAAAAAAAAGTCACTGCACCTTTAAATCCCCACGCTCCCCTCGCCCCCACCAGATGCCGCAGGGGAAGAACATCTCCAGTGGCCTCCCGTCCCAGAAAAACAAACAGAAAATACCACCAGACATCTTACATGGCCGGTATTTTCTGGTTTTTAAGCCGACAGAAGACGCAGTTACCGGACTGTCTGGGCCAATACCGGGCACCTGGTAACCCTAAGCCAGAGCTGTGTTTCACAAGCCCCATAAGCCCCCTCCCACTGCCCCACGCAAGGGCATCACCTCCCATCTCCCACCAGGAGGCGCCCCACTCCTCCCGTCTGCCCCCAGAGCAGC